ATGGGGAGGGGAGATTTGGTAATTTTTGTTTCTATAGCTTAAACAAAAACTAAGGTGAATCTAAAGGTCAAGTGTTGTTTCAATTGTAATAGGTGTATTTCAAAATAGTTCCTTATGAAATAGAGTGTTAGGGAGTCAACAATGAAAAAAATCTGGCAAAGAAAAGTCCTTTTGGCAACAAAATGCACTCAACTTGTAAAAGAAATATGCGATAAGCTTTGTTTGGAATCTTAATATTCAGTAGCAAAGCTGAGTTTTCAGACTGCGTATGAAAGTAATGCCTGGTTATGATTAAAATTAGCTAAATTTACCTCTAAAAAGAAAATAGAACTAGCCTTGCAAAATAGTCCTCTTCAACCATGTTAGCTGAGCTAACATGGAAGTGAGGAAGTGAACTTTAGTATTTGTGTTACATCTGTAAGATTAAATAGCTTATTTTTGTGTGAGTTGTGTATGTAGGTGAGTGGTTTTGTTTTTATGGGAAGGCTTCATCAGGAAATATATTTTAAAAACCTCACCTCAATTTATATTTTTTTATTACCAATCCATTATGCAGAGTAAAAGGTCTATAAGTTGCAATAAGCAAGTGTGTCTTTTCATCTCTGAAGACCTGGTGGAGTTTTGAAGCAACTTCATGAAACAGTAGGGTGACAGATTGGAACAGTGAAGCAGCTGCTTTCATAAAACTAGATGAAGAAATTGCTATAATACTGTAATTGCCTTTGATTCTATTTTTCAGTTTTTCTGAACAGAATATTAGCCCTCATATTTAGTGGTGAACAGTTTATTTTTTCGTTGATGAGAAGCACTACTTTTCCACTCAAAATCTGCCAGGATGCTATGTTGCCTAAATGTATGAGACTTCCCTTTTAGAGGTTCTGAACAAAAGAAATGTCTATTTTACAGAGAAGTGAAGGAAAGAAGCTGGATATTTAATCTTCTTATATGCTGTATGCATTAGAATGATGAATGGAGTGGATATAAAGATGCAACTCACCCTGACTAGTCCATGCACCCATTTTGCCATAAATTCATTGTTGACCCCTTTTCTACTGTCCATAGCAATGTTCTTATTCCTTATCTGCTAGAATGAACGTAGCGTTTTCTCTCTGACACAACTCTAAACCTCAACTTTCAATATTGCAAATAATTAAAGACCATTTAAATAAAAGTATAGAGAATTAAATACTAGTTTTGCATATAAAGTGGGCTTAATGTTCTAGGTGTGATTCCAGATCACTCTTTTAGACTGTTAACTTTACATTCATATTTAACAAATGACATTATTCAGTTTCATGGGGTCACTGTGTCAAAATGTCTGTGTTAGAACTTTAATTTATTTCCAAAGGTTCTTTGGGCAGATAGGATGGTGTGTTAGAATGATTTAGTGTCTCCACTTTCCCATGTGGATTTTAAGGCTTTGAACGTAGCCTATGATGTAAATTTTGAGACTAGGTGGATTCAGCTGCTCTGTGGTGGCAGACTGAATGAATGGGACTCATATCCCAAATGTGGGAGGTTGACCCTCATCTTAAATATTGATGATGTCTCTAATTCTATCTCCTGACCAAAGTGACAATTTATCTGCCTCTCTCCTGTTAACTTTAATAGAATACATGCAATTGTGGCCAAATTTTGCTTTGTTAGCATCCCATCTTGGAAAGCCCGATGGATTCTTATCAGATCAACAATTATTGGGTATAGACAAGAGATGCCAGTCGGGGAGTGTGATAATTGAGAAGTTGGGGTAAGTTTTTTAAAACTGTCAGCTGACTTCGTTGGATCATAGGCTATTTTTTACTGCAAAATTTATTTTGCTGTGCTATAAATTAATTCACGTGTATCAGTGATGATCTTTGCTGTGGGACTGCTGACTTCGTATTTTAACGTAGTCAGGCGCTGAGTGTAAATTTCACTGACTGACTGAAAGTGCAGAGGAAATGAGTGGGTAATGAGAGCAGAGCAGCCAGTTCTTTAATTGAATTAAAAGCCGGGTGACACCAATGCAGACACCTGTCCAATTACAGACAGGCCAAGGTGTTTACCATTGCTGTACAAGCGATTTGAAGATGACAGAAATCTTTCCGCCCACAGATTAACATAATGAAGGAGAACAGATTACAGTGGATGCTGGCCAAACAGATAGGATGGCAGCTGAGAAAAAAGTAGTTTGCTGAAGTATGTAAATAAAATCTGTGCACTTTCTATTGCCTACCTATGCAGCACATCTGTTTCTTTGTTGAAAGAAAATAGGGCAAGAGTCCATGTGAAGGAAAAACATTGATTAGGAAACAAACAAATGATTTTTTAATTTGCTGCCTCTGCTGAATGAATTTTAAACATAAAACTCCTTTTGCAATAGGGCTTCTTTACTTGTTTGGGGGTTTTGTGGGTTTTATTTTTTTTTCTTTTTGCAAATTCTTGCTGCCTTTTACAAACTTGCCTATGCAATGTGAACTCTGTTCTGCTGCAGATGCTTTATATAAAACCTTTCTATTTTGTCAAAATTAAACAAAACAGCCCAATCCCAAACTTCTACAGATATGGGCATCTTTCTGGATATGTCCTCCTGGAGCTCTCAGTGCCTGAAGCAATTGGTGACCCTACCGAATGTCTTCTATCAGAAAATGCAAGGAGCATTAATTCACTGCTTTATAAGAAAAGAATGCTACAAGTGCTAAAAGTACAAATAAAACTAAATTGCTTCCTAAACCACAGCAGAGTGAGTAGAGAGGTGGCATATACACTGTACTATGCTCCTCTTGACTGAGAACCTGCAAATGTCACAGAGTATTTGGTTTCTGCTTCTGTTTATTTGCAGAAGGTAATTCCAATTGTGCCTTTTATAGTTTCCTGTGTTTAACCCTCTATGATCTGGAAATAAGTCTTATGCAAAAAAAGATATTTTTTTAACTAATGGAATTTCCGTGATGAAGAATTTAGTGTAGATTCCAGTACTTCCAATATTTTACAGGGATAGTAATGCCTAAAGGGGGCATACAGGAAAGCTGGTAAGGGATTTCTTGCAAAGGTGTGTAGTGAAAAGACAAGGGGTAATAGCTTTAAACTAAAAGAGGGCAGGTTTAGATTAGCTATTGGGAAGAAGTTCTTTACTGTGGGTTTGGTGAGGCAGTGGAACAGGTTGCCCAGAGAACTTGTGGATGCTCCATCCGTGGAAGTGTTCAAGGCCAGGTTGGATGGGGCTCGGAGAAACCTGGTTTAGTGGAAAGTGTCCCTGCCTGTGGAGGGGGGTTGGAACTAGATGATCTTTAAGGTCCCTTCCACCCCAAACCATTCTATGAAAACTTCGTTATTTCCTATTTTCGGGTTTTTGATGGCTCTTAAAAATATCTGCCTTCCATCACAGGAAGGCTACAGGGACATTTGCTTAGGTGGTGGCTGACACAGTGTTCTTTTGCTTTCCTGTCACATTTACTTTGGATAGTAAGATGTCAGTACAGCTTTCTGCTGTTAACTGGGGATTTGCAAAATCAAAGCTATAACCAGAGCAAGCAGATGCTGATCAGCTAGTTTTAGTTTAACATTGCTCTGAAGTATAAGTGATTACTTCTGAATATTTCTTCATGTGTATGAGTGGAACTGCACCTCAGATAATTCAAATAGAAAGATAATTACAGTGCCAACCTTTGAAGTTTTTTGGTTGATTGCAACAAAAAGCACAAACATTACTAATTCAGTGAAAGCTAGTCTCATATTTTCCATGTGAACACACCTTTTAGTAAACACAATATAAACCTTTACAGACTTTGATTGTTCTACTCAGAAAATAATGTATTTATTCTGTAACTGTTAACTTCCAACATCAAATTCTCCAGGCCCTTTTTATGATTATAAAGGGCTTATGTGGGGAAAAAACATTTTTTTTTTTAATGAAATGCAAAGTTATGTTGCATTCTGTGTAGTAACCCAATGACAAGTAGTAATAAGGTCTAATTTTGTCTACTTGTTCATGTACATGTAATGCTGGGAGTTCTTTGAGGTACTGGGGTTTTTTTAAGCTGCTTTCAAAATGCAGTGTTGGACAGTTTTGAAAGAACACATTTTGCTGAAATTTTATTTTTTTAATGAAAAACCACATTGATTTTTCTAGATAGCTGTGAGAGTCAAGGTGAGAACATGGTTTGAGATAAAACTTGAATTGGCCTTCTTTTAATTACTACTGCATTTATATTTCTTATTAATTTATTGTTGGACCTATTGTTGGACCTGTTTGAAATGAGAGCTGCTGATGTTTCTGAAAATGATGGTAAACCAATTTTTTCCCCTCGTAATTCTTCTGTATATTGATGTTCAAAATATTGTTTAAGTTTCTGAAGTGGTAAGCAGTGGTTTACTGTATTTGCTATGACAAGGAGCTGATTGATATGTGGGAATCTAGTAACTTTTCTTCACTAATATAAGCAGGACCTAAAATAGTAGAAGGTTACAGATCTTTTTTTCTTGTAAACGGTGTCATCTGAATTGTTACTGTAGTAGTATAGCAAATGTATGGCCTGAAGTAATGGAAGATAAGTGGAATGTTTCATACAAAAAAGATTTCAGTTTATGGATGAATGGGGGCAATGTTGGAGATGAAATATTGAAAAAAATTTGTTCTGGGAGACATTGAAAATTCCTTGGAAAAAAAAAAGAATAACTGAAAAAACTTTGTGAGACAGGGACTAAGAAAAGAACTACTTTATTATCATTGTTACATTAAAATATACACCTCAGTTTTGAAGCAGTATCTGTTACAGTGAGCATAATTAAAGAAACTTAGCTGCATCTTAATATTTAAAATGGAATAACATACCATATACTCTTAATTTATTTTGCAAAATTTAAGTCATGGATGATAGGAATGAAACCTTGAAATAATTTTCCTTTTCCACCTGTGACAGTGGAAGCCTGTAACAGAAGACTTTTTGTTACTTCTGTCTGTATGCTGTAATCAGTCTGTACACTGTACATGCACAACACCTTGCTTTCTTGTGTTGCAGGCATATTGACAGGCTTGGATCCCTTCACAAACTATGCTGTAACCCTAACTGCTTGCACTTTGGCTGGCTGTACTGAGAGCTTGCATGCATTGAACATCTCCACTCCACAAGAAGGTAAAGTAATTTCAAAGGTCTTGACTTCCACATTTCAGTCATGAATAATAAAACAGGAGAAGAGCTAAACGCTGCAAAGCCATTTGCTGGAAAACCCCAACCTAATTTGATGACAAAGTGCATTGCCAGACCGTAATTGCTCCATTTTTTGGGGGGGTGCGAAAATGAATCAAACTCCATACCCTTTAATGACATGCATCTTTAATAGCTGTAATGCAGATTAATGGGCTTTTTAATTGCTGTTACATTGTTCATGCAAGAGCCTTGTCATTAATATGAAGCATCTGAAAGATTAATGAAAGCTTCCTCATTTTACTATGGCTCAGAAGTAAATCTAGAGACAGTCTGACTAAAAAGAATTGATTGTATGGCACAGTATGAAATTGAGAATCAAATGGTTGATTTCCATGGTTTCTTTTAACCGCTAAACACCATCAATAGGCAACAATTATTTCAGTGTGATGAAACCACCAAATGCCGATTGAGTTATTTATTAATTGCTGTTCAACTTTTCCCGTTTTTTTTTCTAAACACTTTCACAGGTTGTTGTGCTCAAACTAAAAGGTTATGAGTACAAATTAATACTTCCTATGCTTACATTAAGAACAAGCCAGGAAGAAAGAAAAAATACATTTATTTCTGACTTTAGAGACTAGGCTGATAAGTAATACACATCAATTACAGATGCTCTGAAAATATCAGTGACATATCTAAGTTCATTCTCAATTAAACATGAAGTCCACATCTCCTGTTTCTATCCCAAAGCCGTGTTAATCCAGTTAAAATAATCAGTTACTCCAAATCTACACCAGTAGAATAATGAAGACTTTGACATGTATTTATTAGACAGTAGTTAATCTTCCATGATGCAGAGTAGTTTTCAAAATTCCCTCCCTCCCACAGTTCTTTGTTTTATCTTCTCATGTAAACTAGGTAATAATACAGTACCAGTAAAGCAAATAAAATTTTGGCATGAAGTCATGTGAATTATAACCATAATAATTAAAAGAATGCTGGCGTGTTGAATTGCTGCCAAAGCAGGTAGCCATGCAAGGTATTGTCTTGACGAGGGCAATACTGAAGATTGCAGTCTAACATTGCTAGAACAGAGTTTTGTTGTGACCATGTTAACAACTGCCAGCAGCACCAATCAAATCAGAGTCCAATTATTCCCTCTTGGATGTTCAAAATAAACTGAGACTGTCTGGTGGCATTCTCCATGAAAAGGTGCAGCCTCTGACAACCAAATAGTTATTGGACCCTGTGATGTAAACATGAAATACAGTATTTACATATTTCTTTCTGCTGTGACATGTAATTAAAAATAAATTGTTTATGTCTTATTTTATCTGCTTAGTGAGTAAAGCAGGAATCCTTTGCGTGTCCTATTGGAAAGGTTTAGGCAAGAGTAGATTTTTTCTTTTTTTTTTTCCCCTGCCCCCCCCCCCCCAA